ATAAAAATTGTTGTTCTTTCATCACTGCCCCGTGGGGAAGCTGTCGCTGGTTGAAATACTGTTTGGCATGGAAAGAAAACAGAGGCTAGCTTTTTATTAGCAGCCCTACAGATACAGAATATGTGCATGTGTCTGTCCATAGGGCGCATGGGATGTGTATTTTACTAAGGCTATCCTCACCTCCCCTCTCGCTCTTTCTCACAATCACAGTCTGACTGCAGTACATGAAGGTATATGAATCAGAAAGAGTGAAAGTGATACACACATTCAGCAGCAGCGTGTGACCTTTGTGTCTGATATGAAGAAAGATCGTTAGCCCACGCCACACCAGAAGAAACAAGGGTGTGGAGCATTAAGAGAAGTCTTACCAGTGTCTCCAGCTGTGATGCAACCTACTATAAAAGAAGTTTGGATTGTTAGACTCTATGGTTACTAAGTCCGTCTCAAACATTTATTCTGAAAGTGTGAGAGAAATACAGAGAAATATACATTCTTTGGAACCCTTTAATTGATTAACTTAAATCAATTTCTCATGCCCCTGTCTCAGTCATTAAGCTCGTTTAAACTTTGAAGCACTTACAAGAATAACTCTGTCTCCTTTCCTGTGGTGGGTAATCCAGTGTCAGCTTTTACAAGTTCATGATCAATACCACTATAAAAAGGCGTATTGATTATATAGTTTGACTAATGGGGCATTTTTTGGTCTTTGGAATTATTTTTGTTCTCAGTGTTGGGCGTGTGTTCTGTCAATTAGAGGGGAACTCCACCGATATTACAAAGTTCAGTTTTACTCATCACAGGTAGTACAACACAGCCTGTGGAAAAAGTTGGATAATGTCTGTGTGGATCTGGAGCTTTCAAAATGCTGAGAAGTCTTTTCTCGGCTCATTCTTGGAAAAAAAAAACATGCTTTACAAACTTGGGGCATGGAGTTGGCATTGACCAGGCAGTAAGGGTCATGACAAGAATATAGGAAATGGGAAATGTAGGAAAGTGCGCACTGGTTTTCCTTTACTGATATTATGTGAATATTTTCTCCTCAGCTGTGTTCGGTTCGTACCTGCGTCCTGATCTGGTCCCTGCAAACCCGTCCTTCTTCGAGGGTTCCTCCATGGGAACAATCTCCACGTCCTCCATCTTTGTTAACGTGGACAACCAAACGGAGGAGAGGTGCGGCATCTCCTTCTTTTCCTTTTTCCTCGGGATGTTTTCATGCTGTCATGTGTGGTTTATCACCTTAAAATCATGATGCAAGGTTACTGTACACAATATGGCACTGAAGACGAGAAAGACTCGCCACACCTGACACACACTCTCCCACGTTATTGTCACCTGTGCTCTTAACGTCACATGGTCTTATTGGTGACGTGCGTCATGGAGCAGGTGACTCAGCTGGCTTGGCAACCTGCATCCAATACATACACACGCCTCCTACACAACATATGGACAGTACAGTACAAGGATGAGTGGTGTGATGGTGGGTACTGTTAGTCTATTTCATTTACAAGACAGGTAAAAAGAAATACTCTATGAAAAGGAATATTTGATTTGCTATTTTTCTTACGTAAACGAATGTTTTAATGGTACAGTGTTGACTTATAGTCAATGTTCTGTTTTACCTCATAGTATATTGCACAATCTGATAATGTTGTTAGTGTACGCTATAAAATAATAATGAGCATATTGCATCAACTGGTTTTATTACACCTCCAACAAACTCTTTTCTCATTTCACTGCATTGTCTGGCTGTTAGTAAAGGACAATTTCATTTTGCCTCTCGCTAGAAGCTTCTAAACACTTTGTCCTCTGCCCTCTACCTGTTTCCCATCTCTCACCTCATCTTCTGTCCAGCAGTGACAGGTTCAGCTTGCTTTCCGAGGCACCATTGTGTGACTTGCCCGGTCTTGTCCGTCCGATCAGTCACCTGCTGCTCCGCTGACATTGTTCTGTCAACTGTTTTCATAAATTTTTAAACAGCAGCTTTGACACGGTCTTGCTTAGTGCCATTATGCTGCAGAAAGACTGTGACAAAAGAGGACAAGCGGTGCAGAGGCGACTGCATATCCATCAACAGTAATCCCTGTCTGACAGCTGGTTTGCCTGCTACAGTAGTAACACCTACACCTAATTATGTTGTGATGCGTCAGGGTAGGATTGTTTTAAAACAAAGCTGTTGTTTACACATATCTGTATCCATCCATCTTCTTTGCTACTCTCTCTAACTGGCTTTGATTTTGACTGTGAACACACACAAAAATAGTCAGTCACATGTCATGAAAGGGTAAAAACACATTCCTGAATTTTATCAGGGAGCTCAGAGGTATAAGGAAAACAGCTCTCAAACTGCCCCCTGGTGGTTGAACCAGAATCATAAAAGAACAAAGGGAAGATGAACAACTCTGTTGCCTGATGGTCAAGCTACATTCAAGCCATAAATTTGATTCATATGCAGTCTCATTATTTAAGTTCTTTGTATGTATGTATTTAGTTTAATTTTCTATGCCCCCCCCCCCAACTCAAATCACTCCCATGAATTTCTTCTGTGTGCCTTGGAGGACTCCTTTGTGCACTTGCAGGAGCAGGTGATAGCTCTGTAGGGGACTCTTGACTCTCTCGTACATATGTGACATCTTTTAATGCATTTATGACACATAGTGCTCATCATTTAAACCACATTTTGTATTTTCCATCTTACAGTTTTTGTTAATATCCTGGTGAAGCTCTTGAGACAGAAATATTGATGTTCCCCTAGCCTCTCCAAATTTGGACTTTGAGCTTGTGGCACATTTACTTAAACTGTGTGTGCCATTTTCTAGAATAATTCAGTCCTTACGCTCATTCTTATCTCTTATCGCTGTATGTGACCATTTGTAGTACATATTCTCCCAGCAAGGGTGTCATTTTCATCTTAGTCAGGAGAATTTGTTAATTTCCTGCGAGAGAATTCTGAGGCTATGAAACTCTCAGCTGAGGCCTCCACTGGCCCGACACCAGACGGGTTTCCCATCCTGCTCACAGTTGGGTAATCTCTTTGTCTCTTTGATGTCAGAGACTCTGCAATAGTGTGTGATTTGTTTCTGGAGAGAAGTTTTTCAAGCATTGTTTATACAGCTGCTTTAACTCCCTTTGACAGAGACAATAAACTCTCAGGGCTGTCTACTATGTAGGTTAATATGAAAATATCTTTTTCTGTTTCAGAGATGATGTTGCATCCAGCTCCACGTTTACCCTGGAGGACAGTGCTATCTGCCTGACTTCAGAGCAGAGCACCATGGATGTGGACATGGACCGTGATGACGGATCTGTTCTTGATGTCTATTTGGTGAGTTGTTTCTCCCCGCTCACTGACACACTGGGGTAATTTGTGACTTGTTTTGTCCTCTTAAGGTGTTCAGTTCTTAGGTATTTGTGCTTATGCATGTTAAGCTTGTTCACATTTTAAAAACAGGCCTAAACTACATTAACAATCATCCATTTCTCTCTTCCCCCCTACAGTGAAAAGAGCCGCTTTACAACCATCATTTCCTCCTGCCAATCATAAGACAATCGCCACACTCCATTGGACCGGCCATGCTGGCCTCTGACTCCACTTCCAGTGCTGCTAGATCCATGTTGCCACTTGTATTGCCAACACATAAAAACACTTAGATTCTCCACCGGGTGATGGACTGAAAGAAAACACCAACAGAGTCACAGCGATGGACAAATGCAAGAATCATGTGACATATCATGTAATGCGATGAACATAAGGCTGAACTGAGTGTTGCTTTTTAGAGCATGCGTCAACGCAGTGCCATGAAGTTTTATATATGTATACTGTTTTCATGGTCTAAACAGAGATCTAAACATTTATTATATATACACATGAGGAGAGGGTAGGTACATTTCTTTAAATATTTTTTCTGCTGACCAGAAAGAAATGAGATTTTCAAAGTTTGCAACCGCTTTAGTGCTGATCAGAAGAGAAATGTTTACAGTAAATTTATGATGGCGTCTTCGTCCCTGATGAACAAGGATGTGACGTTGTCGCACAAAGGACACAAACCAGCTTAAAAACCACAGCTAGCACGGATAAGAGAAGATTCACATGACCAGACTTGGATGGATTCTGAAGCTACCGAGGCCAAACAGAGACTACGACGTGGTTAAAGTGGTCACCTCATCCTAACTGGGCTGTTATTTGTGCTGCCCTCACAGGAACCTGAAGGCCTGGCAAAGGGTTGCTGTAAAGTGAGAAAAGACAGATACTGGATCTTCGATGAAACACAGAGCAGAGAGACAATGCACTCGCTCTTGATAAAAAGGCACTTTTGACATTGGTTATGATTACTGTTGGAAATATTTTTCTCTGAATAAGTTGCTTAGGTGGGTAGGTTACCTGACAGAAGCACAGATTTGAATATGCACTTTTTTCCCCTCTTTTTACTCTACAAATGCACACCTCTGTAAGTCATTGATACTACATGTACAAAGACAATGAAGGAATACTGTAGATCATTTTTGATGTGGAGCTAGTTTTGTGAGGTTTGCGTCATGACTGAAATGCTTTTACTCAGGATATCCTTTGATACAGAATAAGCGTGTCCTCTTCAAGACGTTATGAGACATGCATCCTACACTTAGAAGCTGTCTGATACCTCTTCATCAAGACCATAGCCAGCTATACATGTTGAAATCCACGATCACGTGTCGGTTGAGACCATAATTTATGATGTAAATTTCAATATTTTACCATTTGCTGAAAAAAATACTTTAAATCGCTGAATGTAAAGACAATGCATATTTATATATAGAAGAGACTCCTATAAATAAACTACTAAAATGTAATGTCTTCTCTTTACTCTAGCTTCTGAAGAAGCACTTCTGTCATCCCAACATTCAAGAAGTAAACTATTTACATATTACTGCTGTGTATGTACTTCTGTCCCGTCACAATCCCATGACAGTTGAAATTACCCTCACCTGGACAGTAGTGCCACTGAAACAGTACACGGCATTTGTTTCTGTTGTGTAACAATTTTAATTTACATAACATTGTCAAATTGCATTACATTTAGTGCAAATAATAACACTTCTGATGTACAACTTAGAAATATACAAAGTGTGTAGATTACTGTCAAAATATCAAAATTAAAAACACTAAATGAATTATTCAGCTGACATTGCTTGTAGATCTAGCTCTTGTAATCATCAGCAAAACAATAATCCAGATCCTTCCTATCCTCGGACCCCCTTAGACCAAAAATCTGATGGTGAATTTTCCACCATCACAGACACAAACTCCCAACTTTTGATGGTGTTAAACACAATCTAGAGTAAATTTAAATCTTGAGGTAAGGTGATGTGAAATGCTGACACTCCCCAGCCCGCCCACTTCATTTCAGGGTTAATAAATGCACATCTGGTGGCTGTACAATAGAGATAACCGGGATTTTTAGAGTTCGTCCTGGTGTCTAAGGCATTCTGGGGGTAGTTAATCAGTCAAAAGGGCAGTAGGCCACTGCACTGTAGTGTGGCATATGAAATGTAATGTTAGAGTATGACAGAGCATAGGGTGGAAATGATATCTTACTAAACATTTTACAATTGTACCTGCACAATAGCAGCAGGACTAATTTACAAACCTGACACTTGTGACGCTGCCTCATTAGGGGCTGAAAATGGTGAAAAACAACCAAGCGTGTACAAAATGTATCCACTCATCTCTCACTGAAAGAGAGGATTCTTTATGTCAGACACTATGGCTGGCCATTTGCAAAGATCTGTCTTACACAGAGGTTAAAGACAGATATACAGAGCCAATAGACCGAGACTTAGCATCAACAGACCAAAGTCAACTACATCATAGAAATCCAATTATTGATTATGACTTCAACTGTGTCAAAAATATTGTCCAACATAAGACAATTAGTTAAATGCTCTTCATCTCCCACTGCAGGTTTCCTTGGCCCATTTCGGTAATCAAATTCAAGCGTTATAACAGTCAATTCACATTTCTCACATTGGTTTCTCTGTACAATACACTGTGTCCATGGTGCTCTCCGAAAGCTACTTTATTAACAATCTAGAAATATAAAGATTTCAAAACTTAGGTTCTGACCCCCCATCAAACTGCAGAGTCATCACTAGAGGGACAGGAGAAGGCAAGAAAGAGGAGATACTGTACCACACCTCGTCAGTGCTTTTCCTGTCAATGTCTACTTTCCTCTCCCATGGTAGTTAATTTAGCAGCAGCATAACAAGTAGCTGTAATACTAGTGATTAAAGCAAACCCAAAAAAGTCAAGTATGGAATCATAAGAAATGTACAAAACAATTTACAAAAAAAGCTAATAATTGGTGACAACAATTCAAAAAACACTTACGAAACTCTTGAATTTACATACAAATGACCAACAGATGGTTTCATGCCATTATAATGTGGCTGGGATGACAACTACTGATGGATTAAAGCAGTAAAACCAGTCTCTTCTACAAGCAGGTGTCCTGTGGGACATCCTGGATGATATGGTGTCCAGCATGTAGTAAGTCTGAAAACACATTCTAGTTGACAGGCAAATGGGTCATGTAGTCGTCGAGGGGTTGTTAAACATGGAACAATGTAGTCTTTCAGAGGTCAACCTCGGCCCTCCGCAAGCCTGAAACAAGACGGAAGATTTGAAGGCGACAACATCCCAGAAATGAACAAAACTGAAATGTCTCATCCATTAACAGCGTAATTAATGTTGTACCCATCAGTTTAGTTGCTTTCTCAGTTGTAAAACAAGATGTTTTCCGGTTCCTGGTTACCTCTTTGTGTTCAGAAGAGGATGGGCTTCCCAGATGTCTTCTCCTGGACATAGGAGGTGAAGCGTTTGAGGAACTTGGGATACTCTCTCTTGGCGACGGCCCTGAGGACTGAGGCTGGAGCCCATCCTCCTGGGTTTACTGCAGCCACACAGAGGGAAATGATCAGGAAACTGTGTTTATGTGCTAACTTATGACATAGTTATTAGTCATAAACCAAAAGTGTACAGATTCACTACCCAGACAGCAGTCTATGGTGCCCTCTAGTGAGAGCTGAGGATGTAATGCTTATTTCTTTAAATGAACTCCCATGACCTCCCTGGCTTCTCTAACAATAAATTGGCTCAGGATTTCTCCTGCAGCGCTGCTTTATGTCACAATATCCTCGTCTACAGGAAGTCAGGGGAGGGGAAGAAGCTGTGTACGTCTGGACTGACATTTCAAAGACACAAGCACACAGATTGTCTTGCTCTTGTGTTATCTACTAGCTGTACAAAGTCAATTTATCGAAGTAGTATCGGCTGATATTAAGTTGTCCTGAATTATTTAAGAAAAGGCTATAAAACAAATAGTACATGTGAATAATCTAGTCCCCCTTGGAAAAATGTAAAGCCATGTTAAAAGTCCATGTAACTGAGAAATGCAACTGCCTTACTTGAGCTGGATTTAGTCGCTTTCTTTCATGTTTCATGTTTGTATTCCCTGACTGTTTAGTTTTATTTATATTTAAACTGTAACTGGTATGCTGTCTTGGCCAAATCTCCCTCAGAAAAGAGATTTCAATGTCAAAGGACTTCTTGGTTAAATAAAAAAGCAACTCAGTGGCATCATGCGAGGAGAAGCCAGATATAGTTTTCTGACAGATACATTGGATCTACTCAATGTACTTGATTTATACACTTTATTTTAGGCAGCTGCAGCTATTTTCTTATGGTTAAAACAGAAGCTCAGGGATCAGTAAGTCAAGTAAACAGTCAAGCTCTATGTATTTAGGCTGGCGTGACAGTTGAGCTCGAGGACTTTTGCTAGTCTTAGGCTATCATTGAAAAACAATAACGGTATATCTTCAGCCAATTAGCTCAGACAGCCTAGTGTTAAGTGATATCACTAATGCTTTATTTCTCCTCTGTAGTTTAGAAAAGTGGGTGGGTTTTACTTCTATTAGTATGGACTGTCTGCAGACAAGAAATAACAGTTTGACCCAAATTGTTCAGGGCTTAAAGCTCAGCTTTACACTTCCCTCTGGTATGCTAATATTAGGTGCTTGTGGGCAGATTATAGTTCGATAAATGATGATAGAAAGGCTTTGTTCTAGCCTAGGGCCTATACACATCAAAACATATATAAATCAAAACCATGTCAGGCTGGTGAGGCATTTACCATTGGCAACGTAGGTGATCTTGCAAAGGATGTTGTCTCTGCTGATCTCTTTATCACCCTCTGGTGGGCTGACCAGTGTTTGGCAGATCATAGCGACGTTGATTTTGGCACGAACACACCTGTTTGTGGGCTGAAAGTAAAACAAAAATATAAATGCAAACAATCCCCCTAAACTGCCACAAATCCCACTGTACCTAATTTCACAAAATGACTGCGATTAAGGGGTCAAACTATTCTTCCTTCCATTTATCCATAAAAGGGCCCTACAACAAAGCCCTGTTTGCTTAAGGAATATTTGTAATTATATACATTTACATTTATTCATTTAGCTGACGCTTTTATCCAAAGCGACTTACAATTGCTTTACATGTCAGAGGTCGCACGCCTCTGGAGTAACTAGGGGTTAAGTTTCTTGCTCAGGGACACAATGGTGGATGGGTCACAATGGTCATCGAACCCGGGTCTCACACACACACCACAGCATGCGTCTTATCCACTGCACTGTCACCACCCATATGCTGTAATTTTTGGTCAAATCACAGTACCTGGATGCCTGATACTGGGAAAATGTCACTAAAATGAATAAGTAAAAATATGTATAATATAGGCTAAACAACATGTTCACTAAACATTTTTCAGTTCACTAGTCGCTCACTTGCAATATTACATGATAGTAATGTAGTTATCTTACAAGGGCATTGTCATGGTCCACAGAGAAGTTGCAGACCAGCCATGTGTCAGGGTCATTTTCGTTTGTTGCCAAGATCTTCCTGATGGCTGACAGATAGAGCACGTCCCTTTGAGAGGCAGGCCACACTCTCTGAAACACAACGAGAGGCATTCGTTTGGCTATCAAATAGGCTAATTAGAGTAATTACTGATCAAATGTGCCAAACATTTAAGCAACATCTAAAACCACGATTAAGCCAATTTACCTTGTGCGTCTGGTAAACAATGACGGCATTATCAGACAGTGTTTCCACAACGTTGAAATTTTCAATGGTGGCTGAGGGAAGAAGAGTTTGGTCAGGTCATGACATTATAACAGAGAAGGTCAAACAGTGTTCATATGATGGTGACTTCTGAAATAGTGAGCTTACTCTCCCAGTCCAATCGGACAGCTGTATCCCAGAAGTAGTGGCAGACCTCGTGTCCTGTCACCCCTTTCACAGAATGTGTAGCTTTCAGAGGATCCAGCACAATACCATTCTCCTCTACTTCTCTCCTGTACACCTGTTACACAAAGTGACAAAGAGAGTGTGAGACAGAACAAATGGAAAGTCATATCAGAACTATAAACATATTCACAACCTCACTACAAGACGTATCTTGAGGGATGCTCTTAATTCGACCACTGACTGATAACATGAGCCGATTTTTCCCGTTAACTGTACGCATGGAAGCGACAGTGGGGTCAAGTAACTAGGTGGATTTAAAAGTACTGTCAATTTGCATTTAATGGATTATCTTTATACTGTGGCACAAATACTTTTACTTTAAATATTTGAGTAGGTCTTCCACCTCCGCTAGCCGATACATTTTCCCTGCTTCTGATCTATGTATGCTTCTACTGCAACTACAGTAGCTTTAAAAAAGTGAGATTTAAATATTCACAGCTGGCAATCAAGGGAAATGATTCATAAGCAGCTTCTCTCCTCTGCACTCACCTTCATCTCTCCTTCTTCTATTACCAGCTGCCAGTTGGCATCTCCGCCCACATCCTGAAGAGAGTAAGTCATATGATTCTGCACCATCTCCTCCACCTAAGAGAAGGATCGATAGAAGTCTTAGTTAGAGAATCTTTTACTGTTCTTTACCTGCCTATATGAGGACGTGCTTTGAAACAGGACACAGGACAGTTTGGGGAGAAGAATAGATTGTGTTAGGGAAACTACGCTCAAGTTAAATGATTTGTAGTCTTGAGCAATCAACACACCAAGCACCTGTGCAGGTATTTTATTACACAATTTTTTGATAACATCATAGCAGGCAAACAGAAGAACTATTTCCCTCTCAGAATTTTATGAATTCATTAAGTACATATAATAGTCACTGAGCAGTAACCAAATAAATATTTGACACTTTATCCTGCTCACAGGTGTAATAAAAAAACAACGCATTATGAACACAGTGCATAGCCAGTCTGGATTCATGCCTGCTCATGCTGTGAGGAAGGGAAGAGGTGGAAATGGAGGTTTCTATACATTCCAGTCATGCAGTATTAGGCTAACTTTATTCTCATCAGCGATATGATGACAACTATTATGTGATAAAGATAAACTGTCAAGTAACTCCAGGAATTAAAATGTTGTACTAATGACCACTTACTATAAAACATAACTCAAAGCAGGGGAAACCTTTGCGAAATCCTGGAGAGACTGGTTAGTAGACATTTTCATGCTACCTGCTCATGCTCTCTCTACCTGCGGTGGAAAGGGAGGCGTTTGCAGCCGCTTGCAGATACATATGCTCGCTGACCAAATACAGTACCTGAATGCTGAATCTGTGAATGTCATCTGAAGCACTGACTAGCTCAACCGAGGACAGGGAAGAAGAATGGCTATGGGGCTGTACAGCAGAGAGGAAGATTGAAAGAGAAAATAATAAGGAACAAAACAGAAAGAGGCGCCACTGCAGCAGTCCAGAGGACAAAATCACAACCTGCTCAAGTAGAATTTCATATGAATATTATGAAAGCTCTTATTGCAATAAATACAAACTTGATTCTCTGTGTGAACAGATTAAGGTGAAGCAGGGACACATTATGATTACATGCTATTCAAGTGTCAATTGCATTTGCAAAGCTATGAAAGCAGGTGATGCTGATTGTAAGCTGACCAGGATTCAGACAGGAATGATGAGACAATACAAACAGCAGCAACCAGTAGCCTTAAATAACAACAAAGTAGGATGGAAATAGGATGTGCATTAAAGAGAAAATAAGAAATGCGTTGAGCACCTTGGTGGCAAATCGGTGTGTACCGATGATGGAGTAGGCGTCTCCAGGAGGAACCAGAGTAAGTCGAGGTATCCTGACCTTCTCTGACTGGCACTGAGGGACAGAGTAAGAGAGAGGAGATTAAGAACATCTCTGTGTGTAACTGTGCCTCAGTTCACTTTATTTTGTTTAAATGTGGTTCAAAGAGAGATAGAGGCAGACAGAGATAAAGGGAGGAACAACAGAGATTGAAAAAGAGTAAATGTGTAATTGTTTTATATATCTGAACTAACTGTGAATCTTTAGGCAACTCACATTAAGATTCCAATTCAGAGGGCTACGATACGATCATAAAAGATTATCAATGCATCTTGATGCATTTACATTTCTGATTTCTATACATGATTTATTTTTACTCACTATGTGACTTCTTACTACTATTAAAAAAAGCGTAGTTGTAACACTCCATAATTAAAATAAACAGATAAATTTACGTTCCATTATCTTTTCGTTTAGTTAGGCAACTTGTGTTAGGGGTGTAGATGCAGTGAAATGTTGAAATGTAAACATTCAACGGTGGCTCATTGGCCATAATTCTTACTCTAAGGTACTCAAACACTGACATATTATCAATCAGAAAAAAAATGCTGATAATTCCTGATCTGCAGCTTGTGCTCACTTATACAGCGCAGGCACAACGGACTGACTGAACTGCACATGTGAACACCTTCATTTATGCACTTTGACCATATGCTTTATAGGGTGTAAACTGTGCGTCGTATAAAATAGAGTATTACAGAGTTATATAACAGAGGTTAAACGCGATGGGGAGTAGAACTCTCCTTCCATTCTGTCTTTGGATCGTTCCGCTTATCGACACAATCGGGTCGTAAATGTCATGTTTGTCTGAAGTGTATCGCTGCCGACTTGAATGTGCTCAGGGGATATGCAATCTCAGGTTTGTTAGCAGCCATCCTGAGAGGTTCCACCTCGTAATGTAATGAGAGCGAATGGGAAAATCAACCTTTTCGCCTAATTCAAACTGTGCAGGACATTTTGATTGTGCCAAACTTGTGAGGGAATTTAGATCTTCATCACACCTGCTCCTCTATCTTGTCCTGTCTGTCCAGTGCAGCTTCCACCGCATCAAAGAACTCGTCCTCATTGATCAGACTGTTGGGCCCCTCCTGTGGAAATCAAATGTCATCAGCTTTATGAGAATCCTGGGAGAACATCCCTAAAAAAAGGTGAAGAACGATAAAAATGCACATGCTGGGAGACATAGGTCAAAGACAAGACATCATTCTGCTGTGGTTGATCTAACAGTCTCTAATCCATTTAGCTCATCTAATTTCAACTTGCCTCGTAGTCTGGCCCTCCGTAGTGTGACTTTTTCTTCAGTTCACTTATAGCAGACTTGTAGGCATCTTCAATCCTCCTCCTCTTCTCTAGCTCCTGAACACAGAGAAAGGACATTGTAGTGTTGTTAGTACAACTGTATTCTGGTATTGTATGTAATGTAAATGTATTCAAAAACAAACAGTGACAGCATGTAAATAGAAAGAAATCTTCTAATCCTTTACAATTAGACAACTACAGGAATTAAGTGTTATAGAGTCTAGGGTTGGGTATTGAGAACACGTGCGTTTAGATTCTGCTTATCTAATCCTAACTTTTCATATACTTTATTTTGCACTCCCGATTGAACTGCAGTGAGCATTCTACAGTCCATAAAAGCTTATCTGCCAGGACCTGCTACGCTGTAAAGTTTGGCTTACCTTCACTGAAAAAATATCTGAAGGTGCATGAATGCTTCATGTTCAATGTCCCAGAATGTCCACAGCTACCACTAACAGTAGCAACATCTCACACTCAGGTACAAAACACAGGTGAGCTGACATTGAGCTTTTAAATTGAAGGCAAATGAATGATTTCTAATCCGATATATATTTTCCTTAGCAATAAGTTCCCAGAGACATCCCTCTAATAAAGAAACTCCTTTCACTTTAGCCATGAAGGGGAAGATGATCAAAAAGAAAGTGGATAAATTCCAGAGAGAATCGGAGTCAGAATTGTAAACAATACCCAACCCTAACAGAGTAAGAAAACATCAACACTCCAGTGGAGAAAAAAAGGGTGGAGGTGGGGGGTCTGCATGTCACAAACCCACCACATTACTCAGCTGTGTGCGCACTCAAACAGGTTTTTCCTATAATGTCTCCTTCCCTGCCAGAGGCAAATAAACACACTTCACACAAATTAACTACACACTGCTGCTTAACAATGGCGAACTGAAGAGACATTGGATTTACTCTTAGAAAACTAGCAAACAATGAATCCAGATACAATAAAACTTCACTCTGAAGACTGAAACCACTTAACTGTGCACAAAAAAAGTTCATATCCACACTGCAATAAGAGAAAGCAAGCAAACTACAGCAATTGTTGCTTTAAGTATACTTCAACATAAAACAACAGCTCTCTCGAAAACACTTAAATGGAGTGAAACCAGACTGAAAGAGACAATGAAACTAAAGTGTACAAGCAGGTGTGGACATATAACCCTTAGCACAAAATAAACGGGAGGCAATCCTGCTGTCAGCTGTGTTTAACCACTCAACACCCAGACAGACACGTACTGTGAAAAAGAGGCTGCAGGTCTGTAGAGGTATCCATCTCTGTGACTGCTCGGTCCTCCTCTGTAGTGAAGGTTTCCACAAAGTGCACCACGACGTCCGAGCAGTCATTTTCTAATTCACTCTGTACGAGTCTGAGCGGGCGTGTCTTGTTCCTTTGAGTGTGTGTTCTGTAACTATTTCTATTTCCCTACTCCACATTAGCAGCTACAATTCACACACAACACAAATAAGATTGAGGTAGTTTCACCTGAGCAGTGTAACAGACTGAAAGCACTTCACAGGTTTAGTAGGTTTTAGGGTTGGGCAGCATGCCTTTATGCACACACACACACACACACACACACACACACAAACTGGTTTGACAACATCAGTTGATCAGGATGTAAGCTTGAGGAGTTCTGAAGAGCTTACCTTTACAGACACAGTCTGCTCAATAGATAAAGCTTTAGATTTACTGATTAAATCAATAAACATCAACCACTCCAATAAAAAAAACTAAATGATCAAATAACAAAAGGATTAAAGCTAATTATGGGCAACAGGTGCATTTGTGCTTCTGGTAAGCAAGCCTAACCGTTTTGAAATTTATATGTTCATTGTGCTATAGCCATTAATGTTACATTTGATATAGCTGGTTTACATTAAAACCACTTGTCAACCAGCTATATCCAATAAAATGACTAGTCTGGACTAGATCATTTTCAATGCAAACTAAGCACACATCCTCTCCCTCTATCCGCACACATCTTGCTGTACAATTGCAACTGGCAGGAGCTATGTTGTGAAATGTCTTGCTAAAGGCAACTTAACATTTCCCACAGAAAATATATTGAGAAAGCACAGAGTAAGATTTTTTTTCTTTTTACAAGATACACTTTACCAAATGCATTCGAATATGTACCTGCAGACATCAGGAATAAAGACTTAAACAATAACATATATTAAGTCTTCCATAGCAAGGGAGACTTTCATACTAAGCATATCTGAACTACATCCTAAGGAATCAGGGATTGTCTAATGTGTATCTATGTAAATACATTTCAGAGTCACCTCCATCTAATCACCTTCTAGCTATTCCAAAACAACCTCTTTTTCCTATTTGTACATTCCCCATCATCTTCACCATCAACATGCATAGCTCACCGTTTTCACATACAACAATCATGGCAACACAATCGAACAGCAAAGGGTTGCAAGACACCCTCATCACCTGTAGGACAGGGCCAAAAAACACCTAACTGTTGTCATAATAGCCAACTCCTTAAAAGATAATGATTTGCACTGATTCACTCCTCAGCCTGGCACTTCCACACAGCAGTGGCTGCTGTCACACCCTCTAAGGTAACTGCCTGTTATTCACACACTATGTATGACATTCAGGGCTTGACATTAACTTTTTTGCTCACTAGCCAATGTGGTTAGTGGTTTTCCAAAGTTACTAGCCACACAGCATTTTCACTAGCCACATTTTTGTTGCTGGAAAATTATGTTTTATATGATTAAAGTTGACTATGGTGTCTTAAAATTGTTGTGCTAAAATATATTATCATTAGCTCTGATAAGGTTGTGTGTAAAGCTCCTTTTTTTGAAAACATGAAGTCTAATAAGATAAACACATAAAAGAGCAGCTTCTTATTGTATATAATGAAAGTGCTGCATGGGTGTAAAAGATGAATTGAAAAGATAAAAACTTAACTTTTTTCAGAAACACTATTTATAACAGCTGTTAATACTGTAATACAGAGTAGGAAATTATCTGCAAATTTATATTTTCATTGTGCTATAGCCATTAATGTTACATTTGATATAGCTGGTTTACATTAAAACCACTTGTCAACCAGCTATATCCAATAAAATATGCATTAGAAACAAGAGCAAAGAATAACAAATTATTTTTGTCTAAGAAAAAATCCACAATTAAGTCAAAAGGATTAAAACTTTATGTAGGCCTGTATAATTTTTGTGCACTTTTGGATTGCTTGTTTCGCATCTGCACTTCCTCAGAAGCTCTGGTAGCTCTGAGTAACTGGAGATACTTCCACCTGAAACGAGTACACAGGTCTTTATTTCCCAGGTATTATTACCATACAAACGCATCTTCTGCTTTCTTATGGCATGAGTACTTAGCCTATAATTAAACACAGGATCAACTCTGGAAAGGTAGCCCAGTTGTGATATGACGATACAATGTGACATAAGGGCAGTCCAGCTAGTAGTTTATGTTATTTTCTTTTTTAAACACCACCTTGTCCCTTAATCATGAAGATATCTATAATATTACAGCATTTAATGGCTTTTTTCTCCTGACTTTTCTCCGTCTCAGCTCTTCTCTTTCTCCTGTGCATTTTTTCTACACACACTCACGCACTGACTGACCGCTGTGCTGATGTGTGTATACATGCTGTTGCATGTGATGACAGAGTCCATAGCATCAGGTGAAAACAAGAAGGGAGTCTACAGGTCGAAGGGACTGTGGCTGCCCTGTGACAGATTCAACTTTTATAGGCCTATTCTCGTTGAGTCTGGATGTCAAATTTGGCGCACCTCGAGCGGCGGCACTGCAGGAGAGAGCAAGATGCGTCTGTTGTGTGGATTCTCCTGCTATTAAAAAAGCTTGCTATTGCTGCCGCTGGTCAAATTGATAATTACCAGCAGGCTAAAACAGCCGTCAGTCCACTTGTTTAATCTCCACAGCGTCAACTGGATTAACATGTTGTCGGTCAACATAGGCTTCACGAATGGACCAATGAGCAAACACTATGTGCAGGTAGTACTCATGGGAGTTGTAGTATAGCAGTGTCAAATTGCAATTCGTTTGTTATTTCAGATGCATTTTGACAAGACTACAATTTTTCAACACGGCAAAGTTGCTAGTGGCAGTGACTGTTACTGTTGAAATCCACCCACACTTGGCGTGTTGGCGGGTGTTAATGTCAAGCCCTGGTGACATTTATTCTAATCTCTGTGTGTAGAGTGCTAGAACGTACCTTATCCAGTCTCTTCTGCCAGCTGTCCTCTCGTTTGACCATCAGTTCGATGCAGTGGGACAAGGTAGACAGGATGCCTGCTGTGGTGGCCTTAAAGGTGATGGCCTCACCCTTGAAGTCTATCCCGTTCATACCTTTGGGACTGGCAGGTGGAAACACTGGCAATGACAGAAACAAAGAAATGAGACAGCTGCCTTGTGACTGTTAAATGGACATTCTAGATTTTCACATTTAAATAAGTTTGTACACGGCCAAACGACCAAAATTTATTTTTACACAGATCAATGATTGGTTGTACAGAATCTGCAGGTAAACTTACATTTCTCTTTGCTGCCATTGTTGTTGTGATTATATTCACCGTCGGGTCTTGCTGTGGTTAGAAAGTCATCTTCGTACTCCTCTACTACAGATAAGAAAACAACAGCCATCTGTCCAGTTAACCAAATTATAAAAAGATATATATAAAACAAACACATTAAGCCGGAGGTATAGCTAATAGAGTACAGTTTAACATGAATAGCAACCACTCATACCTTTAGAGTTAAAGGAGCCAGTTGCAACTTTTTCTTAACTAGGGCAGAAACAATTCATAGATTAAATCGATAAAATCGATTAATAAAATGCATCGACACAAATTCTTTGCATCAATGCTTCGTTTAATCCATGTAACTTTACAGCACACTGTTTCGCAGGGACATTTATTACTGTCGCACATCGCGCTTACGCTGTGAACATGACGTGGCTATAATGGAGCTGTTTGCAAAGTGGAGGGAGAGAGAGAAAATAGCGAGGGACAAAGATGAAAGTGTCCAGAGTATGGGATTATTTCAAGCTAAAGAAATCAACAACTCTGTAATGTTACCGTCCGTCCACCGTAAAACGAAACTTATGTCGCCTTGGCAACAGCACGACGGCAGCTGAACAAAAAGCAGCCAGTGTTCTGCCAGCGGACCACAGACAAGGTAACAGTAACAGCAACTTTAGCATTAAACTGAAATCATGACTGATTGTTGAGTTGAAGGCTAGTCAAAGTAAGCAGCAGAACTCAGCTGAAAATGTACACACGTGCGTTTGTTCTCTTTTTTGGGCCGTGAGTTGTAACCACACAGTCATGAGTTAACTGGGTGTCGGGAAGCTGCACCTTTTAACTTCCCTCCAGCTCTCTCTGTAGCTCAGACAATCCCTGCTACCTGCGTATGCTAATCCAACATTTCACCATCTTTATAAGGAAGGGAGGAAATCAGGTCGGCTGAGTCAGTGAACTCTTTTAAGACCCTTCTTAAAACATACTTTTATAGGAGAGCTTTTCCCGATCTTATTTGACTTTATTTTATCCCTTTTTATTTTATTGTATTTTACTAATTTTATATTAATTTTTCATGCTCTTATCTTGTTTTTTTGTATTATTCTTTACACTTGTTAAAGCACTTTGTAACTTGTTTTTGAAAAGTGCTCTACAAATAAGGATTATTATTATTATTATTATTATTATTATGATAACAAACAGCTGTTTCGTGAGCAGGATCGCTGCTCACGAAACAGCTCACAGTTCACATTTCACTTGTGTTTTCTTGACAAAACGTAGTTTGGAGACCAGCGTCGGGTGACACAGCTGCTGTCAGCTCCTGTAGTGTGTGTGTGTCCCTGTCACCGATCAGTCACGTAGTGTGAACACCACGACTTCAAGACCGCCGCCGCCAAGCAAAAGTACTTCTTAAACGACGCATCCATGAAATAATCTACAGAAGCTTTGAATACTAAAATCATCATTAGCTGCAGCCGAGTGATGTCACAACTGACCCTTCACTAAGCTACGACCCCCCTTAGTTACTGTTGGTAAGTTCGACAAAATGTCGGACATGTGGGACTTTTAGCTGCCAAGGTCTATAACTGCACTCCTTGGAGAAATATTGTCTGTTTTTTGGAAAAAAAAAAAAAAAAAGACTTCTCAGTAAGGAGACAGAAAGGTTTACACTATACATTTGAAGGTTGTATTCAGGCTGTCAAACTGACGTGAAACAAATAAAGATAGAAGCTAAAGCCTACCAATCACAGAGTAAAAGCAAACCACCACATCACCTGACCACTGAGACAAGGGACAACGATATTAAGGAACTGTTCCTGTAAAGCTGGGTAGGTCTCTATTCACTATTACAATCAATAAAAAGCAAAACAGTAAAGTTATATACATTACACTCAGTGGTAATTTAGGTAGCGTTAGCTAACTAACATTAGGAAAATCCACAGCCTACATTTTTCTGGATTTGTTTTAGGTTTTGGAAAGTGAAAAAAATCGTAAATCTCCTTTCAACCTCTCTGGGTAGCGATTGCTAACTGTGCCTCAGGAACAGTGTATGACCATGTCTTGGAAAAATACAGCAACCCCCCAATGGGCGCAGCCATGAAAAGTGTTGGACCTCAGTTACAGCAAGTCCTTTACTGCGCTGTGATTGGCCAGCTACGTATTTGGGGCTAATACTTAGCAAAGAATGAGGCAGACAGAAAGATGATCAAGTGAGGAACAATAGAGATTGAAAAAGAGAGAATGTGTAAGTGTTTTACATATCTGAACTAGGGGTGTTAATCTTTAGGCACCTCACATTAAGATTCCAATTCAGAGTTAAGGGCTGCAAATAACCATTTTCATTGTCGATTAATCTGTCGATTATTTTCTCGATTAACCAATTACTTATGTGGTCTATAAAATGTCAGAAAATGGTGAGAAGTGTTGAATAGTGTTAGTGTAAGCCAAAGATGACATCGTCGAATATGTGGTTTTGTCCACAACCCACAGATATTCAGTTTACTATCACAGACAAGTAATGAAATCAGGAAATATTTACATTTAAAAAGCTGGAATCAGAAAATTTTGACATTTCTTTCTCAAACAATTGCTCCAAAAGATTATCAAAATAGTTGGCAATTAATTTAATCATTGACAACTAACCAATTAATCATTGCAGCTCTAGACACAATACTAAAAAAAACATGTTCTTTTAGCCTACATGAGAGAGTTCAATATGAAAGTGATTTTGTAGTAGAAAGGTTCTGCCTCAGAGATTAAACAACCCACAAAGTGCCCTGTAAGTGGGCATTGATTTTTGTTGCTTTTCACACCAGCCACTCTCCTTCATACTGTATGAATCAAGTAAAAAATATCTGCATCTATAAATGATTTCAAGACTAATTCCTCCTTGCTATGTCCACACTGCTCTAAACATCAGATTTTTGGGGGTAAAGCAAAACAAATTCAATACAAATTTAAACCTAAATATAGTATAGTATCCAATATTAATCCTAATCTTGGATACTACAGAAGCTCCATACTAGGTGTATTTAAGCCACAGCTTACCTCCGTCTCTCTGAAATTCATCTTTGGAGACAGCATCAGCACAGGAGTCAAAGTATTTCTGCAGTGTGTCCACTTGTCTGCACAGAATGTCCCGGAAGGTCTCCATTTCTGCTAGCTTCTCACGCAACCTGTGCCCCTTCTGAGCAGAGAGAAAAAAAAATTAAGGGATGGGCAGTGGTGGCCTAAAGGTTAGAGAAGTAAGCTTGTGAATGGGAGGTTGTCGGTTGCCCCTCACTTATTACCACCACTGAGGTGCGCTTGAGTGAGGCCCTTAACTGCAGTGGAGCTGCCCAGTGGCCAGCAGATCAGAGTATGGTTGTACTGGGCAGCTTCCAGGTGTGAACGGGTAACCGTGTGAATGTAATCAGGGCAAAAGAGAGGCTTCCACTAAGTGAAAATTCCCTTAATAAACAAAGGTAAAAAAATGATGCAATCAAAGGCTATCAGGGGAAAGATTCAAGTCAGTTCTATTGTTTTAACCAAAAGGCAAGGTTATAATAAAAAATAAGCACAAAACATCTGGCAATTCTTACAAAGGCAATTACAACAGATCTAGCCTTTAACTAGTATTCTCACATGGTGCTGTGGTTCACATTTGGCCAAAGTTTAAATGTTTATTGATGGAAATACGCATAGAAACATAGTGAGAGCGACTGGGAATTCGACTTGATCTGCTTGTGCCCAACATCTCCAAACTTTCTAGTGATTATGTTTTTACCTTGAAGGAGGATGTGGATGTAGCAGACAAGGCACTGGCTGCTGAGGTGAGAGACAACATGGAACCATGACGCCTGAGACTGGTTTCTGAACCATAACCAGACTCGGCCTAAAAATCGCAGGAAATAAATAGAGAATGATGGAAGGAGAGAGTATGATGTGGATGATAAGAAAGGAGAAGAAAAATTGAGGATACAAGGAGAAACAAAGGGGAGGGAAGAGATCAGTAAGTGCAAAACCACATTAATCAATCTGCAATATAATAAAAAAAAAAAATGCAGCTCATAAAACCTAGACAGAAACAGAGAGAGGGGGAGATCAACTCTAGCAGTCAGCAGCACTGAGTAATGCTGAGCTCAACCATAACAGGACCTACACCTACACAGACAAACATTCTGTTAAAATGGGACTGGGGCTGACAAATAGACACATGCATCAACACAGCCAGTACACCTGATATTAGGTACAAGGATACTAAAACAGTGGAAATAAACTAAACTGTATCCCAGAGTGGAATAGATCTAGGTTTGCTTGCACACTTCTGGAGGATAATAATGTACACCTATTAGAACATACAGTGTACTGTCTCACGTGGCATTATAAAAACAGATCTACTGTGTGACCGGGTATTAGGGAGTGGCAATGACAGCATTTGTTCCACTGAACAGCCAACGTATGAGTGGGCAACGCCTGGGACTGTCAACTGAGTGACAGAATTTTATTATACTTAGTGTATGCATATGCACACCCAGCCAACCCCGCTAAAATAAATATTCTTGATTGTCCCACATGAAGCTTTTAACTGTTCACTACATTACAACTGGATTCCACAGGGCACGGCTCAGGTTTTGGTCCATCCTCTGCGCAGCTTCATATCCCACCATAAGTGTTTTGCCTGCCCAACGTTGTTGACTTGTAAAGTTTTCCTGTTTGTGCTTCTAAGCTCTCGGCGACCCAGTTTTGTTCCATCCTCTGCAGGGCTTCATACCCAACAGGAAGTGTTTCAGAGTTTTTTGCCTGCCAGTTTTTGCTGACTTGCTAAGATTAATTTGATTTGGTAATTTATCCTTGATTTTTGTGCTTCTTCCATGGGAGAGTAGGCTACGTAGTTAAATGGTTTCTTTTTTCGTCTGTTTTAATTATGTTTATTGTTGAAATACGTTGGGAGCATGATCGGGAATCTGCACAGGGTGTTTTATTTTGAAAATTGACCGGATTCTCTATGCCGTTTCTGTGTCTGATGTCCTGGCCAGTTCGATCTGCTTTGTGCAGATTGACGCAGCTTCTGTTGAAAATAGTACGCGTATTCACAGTGAAATAGAGCAGAGAGCCACTTCTGGGATGTTTCTAAAATGCGCTGAGGTGCATCTGGTGGAATCCAGCTTTTAGAAGGAGACAGAAATGTCATGACCCAACATTCGAGTCCCACCCACATCTTTACACAACCAGTAAAGGAGCTAGTGTGATAGGCTAAAGTCTGAAATTTTACATATGAATCAGGACCTAACATGCTGGTTTTATGAGTCTAATTTTTTTTACTGAGCTTTACTCATGGTCTTAATGTGTTATCTTCCTCTTAATTATTAAATAAACATTTTTTTCCCCATATTGAACGAGTAATACATTTCTCAATCCTGTTTGCTATCTGGCACGAACAGTGAACAAATTGAAGAGCGAGTCAGGTGACAAACTTGAGGCAGCACACATACATTCCTCTGCTAGAGGATATTACAACACTTATAACAGGGTGACAGACTGATAAGACACTGAACACTGGTGAACAAATAGTGAGCTGAGTGGTCTATTCAAGACCAAGCCAACAGAATGTTTAAATTCATACAATACCTATCTGTGATATTAAAATTAAAGTGATACATTTAAGCATTTACGCTCACACTTCTGCATGTTTACATAATAGTAGATACAGTTGATAACTATGAAATTTACTCAAATAAATGTGACATCATGTTTAGAAAAAAACAAATATGGATTGAAAAAGAACATTTTGTGAGATATAAACATGTTGTGAATTTTGTAAATGATTACCTCTATCTTTTTTCAATACATTTTGACTTTTGGACTATTACTGGAAATGTTTGCTTGTGAAGGAAGCTTCAAACTATTAGGTACAGCACTATTACCTAGAATAATTATCAGATGATGTATAAATTTTAAACAAAAATTTGGAACATTTGGCATATTTCATACAAACATTGTACAATAAAAGGAAATTCAATATTATTACAAGAAAACCCCAGCCATAACAATCACCTGGCCCAGTGTAAAACATAATAACATTCACAAAGCTAGAATCAGGGCAAAGATACGCTATTGTAGAAAATGAAGTGCTGCTCATTGTATTGAAGTTTGACTGTGTAAAGAATGACAATATGTGTAGATATTTGCAGCTGAAACACTCTGGAAGTCTTAACTGTTTGTGTCAGGGTGGACTGTGACTGACTCCAGCCACAATCAGTAAAGCCACTCTTAAGTGGCAGAGCTGCATGGTATTTTTTATTTTAAATGGAGGTTAACGATTGTTGACACTTGCGGTCTGCAAAGCGCAGCTGCAGTATGTCGCCTCTGATGGCTCAACAGATATTAATTTTTTTTTTCAGTCTGGTTGAAACGTTATCACCCTCAGTGTTACTACCATCTATGATTCCTGCTTCAACATGTCAAGTCCTTAAATTAACATACCAAAAGCATACTTTTTACTACATGTTCACCTTTTGACACAACCTAAATTACAAATAGGGCTGCACGATTCGGAGAAAGTCATATTGCGATTGTTGTGGACAATATTGCGATTGAGATGTGATTATAATGGAACAAATGGTACTATGAGTCTACTTGCTTAATTATCAAGGAAAATGCACAAAATACTGACACTTTGAAAAGTGTATTTCTCAACTTGAACTAGTAATTAAAAGTACTAGTAAAAAACAATAATTATCCTGATATTTTTATTTTCAATAACAATTTAACAAATGTTCAGTACATACTCAATAAATGCTTGATTTTATTCACCTGAAATCATACACGAATTAGGACTTCATTTTGTTTATTTTGTTGAGGAAAAAGGCCTTAAAAAAGCTTTTACTTGATTTTACGCATACGTATTTGTTGACAAAGACTTTATCATATTTGCTTTGAATGTCTCTGCGATGGACTGGCGACTTGTCCAGGGTGTACCCCGCCTTTCTCCCGGTGTAAGCTTGGATTGACTTCAGGCCCCCGTGACCCTGTACACAGGATAAGCAGTTGACGATGGATGGATGGATGTTTTGAATGTTCCACCAAAGATTTGTGAAGTGATCCACTGTTTGGCCTTAAGTGTTGACCATAATTAAGATTTTAAACCACAATTAACCATCAGGTTTCTTCAACTTTCACTGAGGAGCCTTTAAACTCGAAAGTAATAGCAATATGATACTTATCGTGATAGTTATCGATATCAAACGATATGAAACTTTTTATCGTGATTAAATTTTTGGCCATATCATCCAGCACGAACTTGAACAAAGTTAAACGGTAAACAATATTCAAGTATGTTTTGAACGATGCGGTGGGTGGGGAGGAGGGTAGGTTGTTGTTGTTTTAAAATTACTCGCACACTGCTCATAAATCCTTTTTCTGATTGCATGTAGGCTTATCTGTTTTTAGAGGCATGCGAGAACCCAGTGTGGGTGTGAATAATGAGCAGAGTGCAGCGCACACAAAGAAGAGAGCATCACACATATTTTTTCTATTCTATTAAATCGCACATTTTTGGGGGTTATGTAATCGCACATGGAGACATCGCGATTGTGATTAGATTAATCGTGCAGCCCTAATTTCAAACAGCTAAAAATGACAGTTGGGTAGTTAAATGGGTAAAAAAAATAAAAAAAAACATGACCAAAAGCTGTTCTTACAACACTATCTGATTTGCTGTTGTTATTTCTATGATCAGAGCGGGACATCGCACATGTTGCTAAAAGCATTATTATTGTATTGCTAGTTGGGGCAGAGAGAATAAAAGGCAAAACAAAGCACTGATAAAACATTAAGACCAATCTGTGACAACGCCAGAGACTGCCACCTTTATACACCTGGTCAGCTGCATGACACAGCCATGCAAACTAAACACCCACTCATACGTAACACATGAGATGGCATCTTGTGCCCACATCTTTGTCATGGTAATATGAGGAGTGCAAAATAGCAGATCATGGCAACCACCAAGTACTTCTACAAATCTACTGATGGGGAAAACACAGCTCACATCCAGCACACAGCTATGCAGCGTAAGCTTCATTTCCAAAAAATAGTTTTGACTGACAAACAGTAGAGTCTGATGCTCAAGATAGCCCAGATCAGTGCTACTATGCACACATTCAAACAGAAAATAATAATTTATGCAGTGTATGGACGAGAGTATTAATCATTTACGGTAAGTCACAACACTGGCATACTAATTAAAGATTTACAGAGTGACAGCAAGCAGCATGCAAACATGCTTTACGCCCACCATTCGGCTATTCCAACACCCAAGGCAATGCAGGACACTGCTGCAGTCCCGGCGGTTTGCTGGCCCCAACATGGCCCAGACGCTCCCCCACCACTCCCACTGTTCTGACAATTCAGAGGCTTAGATCCAGTATTCCTGTTTCCCCGGACACACCTCACTGAGGAACAAAAGGGAAGAGGAGGAGAAGGAGGAGGAGGTGGTGGAGGAAGAGAAGAAATGCCACACGGGCTCAGCTTAGCTCAACAGCAGAACTATGAGAGAGGGAAAGGAGGAAGAGGAAAAAGTAATTTCGTAGCACTCAGAAGAGAGGCAGACACTAGCAGCTCCATGAAGCAGAAGAGAGACTGACTGAGCCCAAAAGGATGAGTCTTCCTCGGCAGAGCGACGCAGGTCTGCTTCCAGTCAGATCTTCCGCAGGCACACATGGATGTAAAGACACACACACACACACCTCTTGTTACGTACATATATCAACAGACCAAACACACCCTGATATGTGAAACCTTTTCATCGTGTCCATCTTTATGTCCGGCATCCATCACTGAGCAAGCAACCTTGACCGTGTGTGTTTGCATGTTAGAGACAGAGCGAGAGAGGGATAAAAATGAAGCGTGCTTGCATGTATGTATGAATTAGAGCAAGATGAGGGCTGTCCGGAGCGGTTTGTGCGTTAACACACTGAAGTACCAAATAGGTGGGCGAGTGAAGCAGTACATAATGACAGAGAGAAAGAGAGAGAGAGACAACGATACAGAAAGTGGGAGGCAGGGAAAAACATTTGTCTGGATCTTCCGCTTTACTTCTAACATCTACCTGACTCTTCTTGTATCCATTCTTATTCTGATTTGCTGATATCCTCTTGTGAAGCCAGATCTGGGCCAATAATGTTCAGACTGTGCCAACACCCAGCCAGAAGAGGTGGCGCTGAATAAACACAGGGGATTTCCTCCATTCCCTCCCATATCACCCCTCTGATTCTGACAGAATGGAACAGTCTTCTCTGTGATCCAGTTTTATGTGTCCCTCATGATTTTTGTTGCTGTGAGAATAGGCGATTAAAAAAATGCATTCATCAAGAGCTGCACTTAACATCCCTACATTTCGCACAACTTTTTCTACCACCAACACAAACTACCCCAAACTAATTTGATAATACGGACATGCAAATGTGTTTGTTTACCTTTGCAAAGTGGCTTATAAGAGGCATTTAAAAGCTGTAAACATGACTTGTATTAAAGCACAATTAGTTTAGATACTGACATAGACCCAGCTCGAGCAAAGTAGCAGTTGAGTATATGGAAGTGGCACAAAAACACCTCAAAAAGTGGTTTTAAAAAGTGTAATGTTACACAATTTGTCTTTTGTTACTGTCCAGCCTCACTAGTAGATACCAACATTACGCTAATTGTTTTCAGGAAGAAGTTTCAGATATATACAAATATGGATTACATATTGGAAATTTGAAATATTAGAAAAACAGCTTAGTGTATATGTGTGTTCTAATTTTACTAGTTTGCGTAATGAGATTATTTTCTGCATTGGGAATGGAAAACAAAGCTACAAATTAATAGTATTTGCAGAATATGTATTGAGTATGTTTATTTGACAAATTTTGTTCGTCTTAAAGTAGGCACAAAGTTTAAAACCAGAATGCAAGTGGTGAACATTGCATGATCACGACCAACCAACTCGCACATGTGCGACTTGCATATTTTTTTTTCCATGTTGAAAACATGGTTGAAAACGAGGAAGGAGCGAGTCTGCACCAGAAGATTTCCGGTGGCCCGAGGGCCGTTTCAGTATATTAAAAATGTATCTATTCAAAAAAAATTGCCTACTTTCATTGTTGTAGCTTATGTTCAAGGTTCAATGAACACACATGATGTTTTTTGGATGCTTTTCATATGATTGATGCTTGAATGTAAAGCTAATCATTTGAACAAACTCTGTATATCTCATTGTCTTTTTAAAAAGTGTAATTTGTTTTTGTATGTGTGATTGGTGTTGGCTATTTCTCGGGAGTATTTGAGGGTGCATCCACAGGCACAGCATACCTTGAAAACTCTGTTCAGATAGGCTACTTTAAAGGTCAGTCCCAAATGTTTGTATTTTGAAATGTGAATAACAGATGAACATAGTGGCCAAATTTAGTACCCATTGGCAACTGGGCTTGGTTGCAGATACTAGAAGACATTTTGTCCCTCATCCGAGAGACTTCTTCAGTTTTGATACCCATTACATCAACAAATAAAATTAAGTCTACAAAATTAGTGGTCTGGTGGTTTGCGTGAACAGGGTGGCCTGGGATGGAGTCAAATCCTTGGGCCTGAATTATTGTGCCAGTCCGCCCCTGGCTGAAGAAGGTTCCATGGCTTAGATTTAGCAGAAACACCAACACCACTTACTGTATCTACTGCACTAGATGTGTTCCATGCAGGGAAAACCAAGCTTGCTGAGGCAACTGGCACCACACAGTTTAAACGCGAAACCTTAATGAAGCACAACAGCAGCTTAAAACATAGTATCTGCAGATACAAAAATGAAATGGCATTGGTACTTCAAGGATGTGCATTTGTTTAAGCACCATTCAATTAAAATATGACTGAACTAAAATAAAACAGCATATTGTAGTTTTGTAGTGTAGTGTTTATTACCAAAGCATTAAATTAAATAGGGAAAAAAGCAAAAAATTGCATTGCAGCTCAATTTAAGGTGTGCGCCACTAAGAGTCAGGGGATACTGTGCTCTAGTAAAAAAAGTTAGTCTGAGGCCCTGATGATGCAAGTCCTTCTTTGTCCAGTTGGGACCAGTGCGGCACACGCAGGTACATTAAGCTTACAGAGGTTACTGTAGGTCACAGTCCAAACATAACCCTGAAATACTCTCACTCCGTCGTTAATGGACTAGAGACCTGAGGTCACCCACACTCATTTGACATGACATTCGACTAACAAAACTATCCAGGGCATCAGTTTAGTGGAGGAGAAGATCTAATGAGAATTCACAGGACAGTGATTATTTTAAGGTGGTACATTTACAGTGATCTCTTAGCTATAGTGTTTTTATGTACGCTAGCAAGAAGAATTACATAACACAATCCAGCTCACTGGTGCAGTGGCAATATTTGTTTGCTCACTCTCTCACAAAGACATTTCACCAGATGATAACACAGTAAAGAATTGTAATTCACCCAATTTCAAAGTACAAACACACTAATTGATATAACCCAAGATTATTTTAGTTTTACAGTCTGTGGAGTATTCAATAAATCAATAAAAACCAAATAAAACCAAACAAATCATAACATTAAAACATAAATTCAGTATAGTAGTATAACTAGCACTTCTTTTGTAAACCATGACGACAAATCTAATGTGCTTTATACACTTCATGCATCATTAACTACATGTCATGGCAGCAGCTGCATGGTATCTGATGGCAGGGGATAGCCCCACATAAACACCTCACTCCTCAGATTCCTCAGATTCCCAGGGGGGAAAGGCTGTGTGTGTGCGTGCGTGCGCAAGTGTGTGTTGCATGTGTCCGAATCCCTACCCTGCCACACCCAGCTCACTGGACTACACAGATAATTCCATGTCTGTTCTGAAAACCACCCTGACCCAATTTCTAACTGAAATACCTGAAAAAATGTTTTCATGATTTGGCTAAAAAGAATCAAATATTTATTATGGCTTTAGGAACTGACAATTTTTCATAAGAAAATTTGTTCGGATTTGTGACAAACAACAAGCACATGAAAAAATACCTCAACACAATAGGGACTGGATTCAGGCACACTGAGCTTCTTTAGCTTTAATTAATCTATCAGGGTAATGCAGGTGACATGCATACAGGTAAGCAAAATTCTCATGAATAACTTTATCACAAGACAGTCTGTATGACAAGCAAACCACTGAGCAAAAAGATCCAGAAAATCTATGTTGAAGGGAGATAAACATCTTCCACTAACCTTGTGCAGCTCTATTGACTCTATCCACTGGAGTCTATGCTCGGGATCTTCAGCTCTGAGGTACCAAACGCTGTCGTTCACGCTGATGTCAAAACGACACTCGTCAAACTCATGAGGCTACAAAGAGAGAGGAGAGGGCTCATGAATAGTTATTAGACAGAGTGCATGTGTCATGTCTGGAAAAACTCAAATGTAACAGTTTCCCATAATTCAATAAAATCATGGAGCAATCAGAGCAATAATCGAGCCATAAAGCCCCTATAGTTATCTGTCTGTTTATGACACTGGCTGACTGGTGATGACATTCTGGACACACATGGATTCCATCAGTCGTAGAAAATCCTCTGCCACACAATAAGCAGGAATTTTAATTAGAAACGTATGTCTTATGTCTGCAAGCGCAACCCTAAGCGACCGCAACAGAGCTGTGCAAAAAAAAAAAAAAAAACAGATTCTTCCAGCATGCCTTCGCATGAACCTGGGTCATCATAACTCTTCTTTCTACTATTGAGCTAAATCTTTCAACTATTTCACTCCCCCATTCTACAATGCACCCCACCCAGCTCCAACCACTGCCTTAGGCACCCAAACACGTGCACCAAAGAATTCCCCTGTTTCCTCTGAGATTGGAATTTGACCACTGCACTCAGCTGAGGAGAGATCTGCTCTGCAAATGTTCCTGATAAGAAATGACTTGATTCTCCTTTCCTTTTTCTCCTCAGTAGCACTAAGACTATAGCTGCTCTGTCAGCTGACATAACCTGATGTAGCCCAAGTTCAATTAGATTTGCTGAATAAGGGTCATGTGGTGGTTTATTTGCTGCCAGTGACAAAAGCAACACACACTCCAACTACACCAACGGTCATCCTGCATAACTTGATTCGGCATTATCTTTAATTTTAACGCCTGTGTTACATTTCGCAACTTGCTTATCTGGGATGCTGACAGGGGTGACTGTTTTTTTCTGACCTTTAAATGTTTTTTATTAAAGTCACAGACCACCTCAGAGCAAGTATCCCCTCAGAGACCGGTGAAGGTCAAAAATGCCCTCTAGCTTCACCTTTTCACTATAAGGAGGGGTGTGCAATGGTAACCTCAAGTGCATCCAGCCATGTTGCTATTAGGAGGGAGAGAAATCCAGTCTATCTTACTGTATTGTATCAGACACAGCTCATAAACCTCCACTTTACAATCCAGTTTATGCCCCTTTCATTCTGCCTGGAACAATCTCCTTCCCCTTGCGTAAGCACTACTGAACATCCATGCTGCACTGGCTGTTTTCTGCATATAGGTCTGTGGCATCTTTAGTATTGGGAAAGCGGAGGTTATCAGTCATCGTTCACAAAAGATACATCTAAGCCATCTTTAATTTAGTGTGTGCGTGTACATGTTTGTATTTTAATTAAAATAATATTAAACAAAATACATTTTTTATACATTATTACTCATGAGTTTGCTCAATGCAAAAATAGACAACTGACATGAAAACACCAGTGCACAGACAAGAGCTTTCACTGAACCTTGGCCTTCAATAGTAACAGTAAGATTTCCTGCACATTAGCTTCCGTACGAGGACAGCCTGGTGTTTGTCTGCAATGTGTAGCAGACTGATGTTAGGTAAGAAGAGAAGCAGAGGCTTGTTTCTGCATTCCAGAGTACTCATGCCACCGTCTCCCTAGACAGCATTGGCTTTAGATCTTTCAGAAGAAGGGAGAGGCAGTAAGAAGTGGCTGTAGGGATCACACGACTCTTATTAGTGAACATGTGTAATAAGACCTTTACAGTCTTAGTTAGCATACTATAAAGCAACTACAAAACACAATGACTTATGACTCTTATGGAGTTCCATTCAGGTCTGCACAAACACAGGAACTGGCATAATGCTCACTCAAATGATCACTCTCTCTAGAAACTAACTGTAACCTTTTGGGTTATGGTTTTAATCCAGTTTTGAGTCAAATAAGCCTATTGTTCAAGTCACAGTAAAATGATTTGTTTGGCTCTGTACTTGGTAGCAGAATGCTTAGAGAGCACAGTGAATATTTAACCAGGGCGTGGGATTTTAACTTATCTCACCAACAGTAGGCCTGCATAGGAAGAATACAGGACCAATCTCTAGGGCATGTGGTCAGATCTTACATTTTAATCATCGGAAACACCAATTTCAGGTAGCCTGCACAATAACTGCCATGAAGGACGAGGCACGAGTTGTGTTCTCAAATGACTGCCAGAGCAAGAATGCCTTGGTCTGCCAAAACACAGGTGTTCCTACTAACAACCTGATTACAAGTTAATATTTACCACTCTATTTCCGTGGAACATGGATTGAAAGAATTAAAGTTCAACTCCAAGCTAATAACAGTGAGACCTGCTAGAGAAGTAACCCTACTTCAAGAGCACTGATGCAGAAAATTAGGCCCTTCATGGGCGCCCATTTAAAAGCCCTGCCTCTCTGAAATGTTGAACAGGTGCTAAGCTCACTCTACTTTCTATTTGTGCAATAACTTAATATTCCTTCCTCATATTATGGAAAATACTTACTGTGATGACAGCCTTGCTGAGGCACAGAGACCCCCTGCAGCCGTACTCCCGTTCATCCTCCGACTTGTAGTAGCTCAAAGTATTGTTTTTCAACACGACCCATCGGTCCTGCCATCCGTGTATGTAATTTGTCCACTGTAAACACACAGGAGGAAAACAAATGGTCAGCTGCACTGTGCAGTCAACAGATACTCTACTGCGTATGCAGGAATCCAACTTCTGCAGCTCATCAGAAACGTTCACCTGGCTTTCAGACCAGTAGTGTTTTATTAGACAGACCCCTAAGCTAGGAATTATATCTGCAGCAGAAAACATTTTAAATTTCCAACTGGTTCATCTAATGTTACCTTGCTTAAAACGCCTCCGAACTCCACAGGCTGCCCGGATTCCGGGTCCACATCCTCATCCGAACCGGACGATGAACTCTTTTCGGACATTTAAATCCAAGCTTCAAAGAAATCCTGAACCTGATTATATCGGCAGAAGCACTTAGCTGAACGCTGGATTAGTTATAAGTTCAAACGCGTCAAAGCCAAACCTGCTGACAGCTTCTTTATATTGGCCTTACCGTCAGCGAAATAACGTTGATTGGGCATTAACTGAGTGTTTTAAACAGCAGCTGAATAGCGCAATTTATCTTCGGTGGGCTGACAAACTTAAACCTAGCTAGCTTGTCTTGCAGCAGGCTTTTCTGGAGGTGACAGCTGAGTCTCAACTTCACGGTTTTGCGGGCTTTGTTTTGAAACTGACGTCGAATACCAATTAGACTAGCTTGTTAGCGTTAGCTGTCAAACGACGCAACTAGCCAACATTAACTTAACTACAAACTTGTGACGGTTCTCGTTAGCTATCTTAGCTGCAGTGGATAAGCTACTCAGAGTAGTGATGGATAAGAGAGGCCTTCGTGTGAACGCTGTGTATCAACTTCCAGCTACAAACGACGAGCAACGGACTGTACCGCCGCTGTAGTTCCGCAGTTTAGTTAGCAACAGCGGAGGACTGCCTAGCTCGTCTTCATTCAGGTCGGGGGAGGAGCTGCAGCCACGCTTTACTGTGTACCTTATAGAGAGCGGCGTCAAGTCAAACACAATCACCGGAAGTCGTACATATTAGCCTTGACATTAAAATAAATCAAATTGTCGTTTTCATATAGGGACGGGAAAGCAAAATAAACCGTACCAAAGTCATTAGGACAGTTGGAGCAATATTTATTTAATTACCAAACGTTAGGGTAAGCAATTTATTTCACACGCATTTTTGTTATATTTTTTTGCAATTATCTTTACATCCCGACAGCAATCTATAGATCAAATGGCCTACTTGTAGGTGAATGTAATTCTCCGCAGGCATGCATAACTAGGCACAACACCTGCCTAACTGCGCATGAAATTATGTTTTGGAGGGCATGAAGGCAAGCGGGTGGATATTTTAGAAGGTTGGATACTTTAAAAATCTACCTGTCTCTTGTTAGTTTTTTCCAAATTTCCTACCATCTTTTTAAATATATTTTGTATTTGAAATTACATCAAACGTGTAACTGCACCGGACTTCACACAGGTTTAAGAGGTGTACTTTGAACCTAAACACCGGAAATAAAGGTTTTAATTTGACTAACTTAACTTAGATTTTAAATACAGCATATGATTTTGATTTTACCATAGCCTGCAGTCTGTTTTGCAAAGAGAAGGGGATAAGGCTAAAATGCAATAAAGATGGTTTTGGAGTTAAAACATATGTTCATCCATTATGGGTCTGTGGTTCTGAGTGAATTTATCAACAGGTCTAGTTTTATTCTTTGAGGTTTTCTGTAGTATTTTCTTTGACTGTGTCTGGCTCCTGTAAATATCTTAGATCGACATGGTTCAGGTTCAGTATGCCAAAGGTTATTTTAACAGTAAGTTGTGTGCTCAGTGTCCTTGTACTTGAGATACAATAACGCCCGAGTCTAAAGTTCATGAGGTCCATAGGAACATAGGAAACTTTATCAGGTCCGTCGTGAGGGTAAAATAAAATAAATAAAGATTATCATCATATGAGGTTTTAAATGCCGCAAATTATGTCCCGTAAATAAGTACCGTAAAATATTATTTGTCCATTAACAATATCTTTATAACCACGTGAGACTGCTGTGGGACTGCTGGGCAGTTTCTTAATGCCAACAGATTTCAACCAAAAAAGTATCTTCATAGCTCTCGTTTCATGTGTAAACTTTCTGGGACGACGACACCCGTCTAAATTATGTCGAGATCCTTTGTGTAAACTTAGTGGTAGAACATTTCGTAAAGTTTTTAATGTGATCTCAAATACAGACTCAGCGATAACAAACTTCCATATTAAAAATATATTTATTTAGGAGGCAAACAAGGCAAGTCCCGCCCCTTCCGGTGTTGACGCGCGTACGCGGAAGTGCCGCCAAAACCGTCATCGTCACTATTTTCAAAACATGAACGTTAGACAGCTGAGCGATTTGTAATTATTTCTGTTCAGAGTGAAAAGATAAGTCGCTGGATTACGGTTGGTTATCTGGTCTAACAAGAAGAGGCGGACACATAATGTCATACATAGCTACGATATCTGACAGGTGTATCAACTAACTTTCGAGTGGACATCGGTATAGGTTGGACCCCCACCCAAAAGACAAACGACTGTCTTCCCATAAAACGCCTCGTTCTTCGGGATGGAGAATGGGGTTACAGCCACTAAAGCCGAGGGCTTCCTCTCCAGAATGGCCCTCAATGACAACAAGGCTGGCATGGAGGGTCTCGACAGAGACAAGATCAACAAGATCATCATGGAGTCATCCAAGGTAGATAGTTGTCTTCCATTCATACATATCCACTGCAGTCATGTGCAAAATGTTCTCCCCTTTGTCTGGAGAATCGTAGAAGAAGAAAGATAAGTGATGTGTGAGAAGGGACACCTCTTTATAATGCTCTACAATGTGCTGTGGACAATAGGAAATGTGAGATTAGATTTTACTGGCTGTGTGCAGCCTAGTGTGACAGCCCCATTTCTCCAGTTTAATTGCACGTAGTCCTAAAAATAGCTGTGCTATAGAATCTGTAACTCTTTATTGTCCTTGTCATTTCCCTACAGGGGTCCAGGTTTTATGAGAACGAGCTGAAGAGAGAGCAGCAGGTGAACCAGCGCATTGAGAAAATGATGCTACAAAAGGAACAGATCACAGAACAACAGTTAAAGAAAGCACAGGCTCAGGTAAGACATGTATATGGATACAACAGGTTATGGCTGGCATCCGTTTCTTTTTAGAGGCCGCTCAAAGACACATATGCAGACAAATATGATGCTATGAAATGGAGGCTACATTTCCAAATGCTACTTCAGTGTTTTTCATCAAATCTCTCTTCATAGGTGGAGAGGATGGCCACTGAGCTGGAGAGGAGTCGTGACCTAAGCCGTGTGATAGTACATGTGGACATGGATGCTTTCTACGCTGCTGTGGAGATGAGAGACTGTCCTGACCTTAAGGAGAAGCCCATGGCTGTAGGATCCACGAGCATGCTGGTGGGTTCAAATGTTATCAGGGAAAGGGACACAATTAGATGTTACATGCATTGGATACTGAACATGACAGATGGTGATACATAGTCAGGAGAGAAATAGTAATGGAAAAAGTTTACAGTATGTTTAAAATATTTATCACATAGCACATAATTCAAAATCTCCTAACCATGATTCTCAAGGTTTAAGGCAGTGATACTACATTTTCTCTGTGGGAATAAGTCTTTATGTGCATATAATATATATTACTATAAAAAACAGTACATATTGTAATATTACAAATCATGGATATTTAAACCAGTGCCAATGTTATATGAATGACTTCACAACAGATTTTGGATTCAAACAAGAGTTTTTGCATTTGCCACACATACGTAGAAGTGTTTTATTGAGAGCTGACCTTTTCTTTATCAGTCAACATCTAACTACCATGCGAGGAAGTACGGGGTTCGAGCCGCCATGCCTGGCTTCATTGCAAAGAAGCTCTGCCCCAACTTAGTAATTGTTCCACCCAACTTTGATAAATACAGAGCTGTGAGTAATGAGGTAAGCGCTGCATTAAAACAAATGCTTTTCAACCCTTTTGTGGCTTCTTGCTTAAAATAACAGGTACTGATTCATTTGTATCTCTCTGTTAGATCAAGGAGATTTTTGCAGACTATGACCCTCACTTCCAGCAAATGAGCCTGGATGAAGCCTATCTGGATTTTACAGACCACCTGGAACAGAGGCAGATCTCGCCAGATTCTTCACGTACACATTTCTTCCGCGCCAGCAGCACCACTACAGGCAGGACTTTGTTATACTGAAATGTAGAATGATGATATGGTGTGGTGTGTTTGTTTTTGTAACAGCAACTTTTGCCGCATTTATTGTAGGCACCATGAAAGGAGACATTGCTCTTATATGATGAATTGCTGCATTTCATACACCAGAAATCCATCTGATTATTGTGTGAAATGTTTTTTTTCCCCCTGTAAAGGTAAAGAGCAGATTGAGCTTCCCCAGGAGGAAGTGCCAGAGATGAAAGACCTCTCTCCAGTCCTGTTTGAGGACAGCCCGAGCTCCTCTCCTTGCTTGCCGGGCTCTGAAGGTGTCAGTGCTGCTGGTTGTGCATTCGAAGTGTTTGGTAAGTCTGTTGAGGAGGCTGTGAGAGAGATGCGCTTCCGCATTGAGCAGAGGACCATGCTGACTGCCAGTGCAGGTGAGAGGAAAACCACTCTAATGTTATTATTAATCACTATCCTGCCTTGCTATTGGCAAAAATTTTGCTAATTAATTTGAGAATTAGAACTCAATGAAAGTGTTTGTCTGCATCCTACCAGAGATTAGGTCTTTGCTATACTCCCTCTTCCTTCTCCCAACTTTCTGAATAAAAACAAAATTTAAATAATATGAGGGGACAGGTGACTCTAATTTACATATAATTAATTCTTTACAATGACAAAACTGCTCAGCAATGATAATAAAAGTTTGCACAGTCTTTTCCCGCACACACTGTCAATTATTATCAACAGTATGTGTATGTTTTACCAGCTGTTCATTTACAAGCATGCTATTCAATTATGCTATTCACTCTTGTAGGAATTGCTCCAAACACAATGCTTGCCAAGGTTTGCAGTGACAAGAACAAGCCCAACGGCCAATACAGACTCCCTTCCACCAGAGAGGCAGTCATGGACTTCATCCAGAATCTCCCAGTTCGCAAAGTACAGTACACATTGCTTAAATTAAAACCTAAAAAGAGCCTTGGGGCTTAGTTTGGGGTTAATTATGGAAAGGCGTTAGAATGTAATCATAATCATGAGTTTTGCATTATTAAAGGCTGACAGATGTGGTGTAAAGTGACTGATGATGTGCTGCAGATGAGGGAAAGATGGCTGTAAAAATGTGCTTGTGTATCTTATCAGGTTTCTGGCATAGGGAAGGTGAGTGAGAAGATGCTAAATGCTCTCGGCATCAGTAGCTGTGCTCATCTTGGCCAGCAGATGGCGTTGCTGTCATTGTTGTTCTCGGAGACAGCCTGGCATCATCTCATGCAGGTTTCCCTGGGTCTGGGCTCTACATATATACCAAGGTATTTCACTGTTTAATAAAACTCAACACAACTGATTGAAGGAAAAAATAACCAGTCCAGGAGAGGAGATAATACGCACTGTCTTTGCTTTCATACAGGCACGAAGAAAGAAAAAGCATGAGCACAGAAAGGTATGGTTTTAATAAGGCATAGATAGACATTGACATAGTTTAAATGATTTTCCTTAGTGTCCATCCTCTTAACTCTCCCTCATTTCCTCTCTTACATTCTCTGACACGTAATCTTTACAGGACATTTAAAGAACTGAGTAAAGCAGAGGAGCAGTTGTCTTTATGCAGGGAGCTCTGTGAAGACTTAGCAGAGGACATGAAGAAAGAAGGTCTCAAGGTAGTGAATGAGGGTTGCTTCATTATATCATATGTTATGAACAAGTAGGTTGTCTTAAACACATCTATGGTTACCTGTCCTGGTTACATCAACCATGGATTAGGTTATATTGTATGTTCATGGTGTTCATTCTTATGCATTCATGGTTATGTGATTGTCTCACACTAAGCAAAGAGGAGCGATATAAAAAGAGCACTCATTTGAAAAGAAACACCACAACAATGTATTGGGAGAAAAGGGTTATATTGGTTTAAAAATTTAAAATACCATCTTATTCTTGGCCTACCTAGAATCACCTTGACTCCAAACCAAATCTCATACAATACAATTACCTCAACCGGTTCATTCCTTTTCGAATCGATAGAGAAAGGACTGGATGGCTTGGCACGACCATCACCCCCCTGCCTGTGTCCTGATGTGGCCTTGATAGCTAAAGGAAATGGAGGGCCATTAAGGAGACAGCAGGAGCTACTATCAGCCCTGGAAATGTCTCCCTGGGAGACACATTACTATAAAAGCGCTTGGTGGCGTGTTTCTCACTAAATGCATTCTGACAAATCAATCATTGATATGACAGATTTACATCTCTCTTCTATTTTTGGCCCTTCCATACAGTATCATTGATTGTGCTTATATTTAAGAGGTTGTTGGCAAACAGAAGTGGCCTTAACTGTTTTTCCTAATATGAATTCAACTGTGTATTTATTTCCTGAAGGGTAAAACGGTAACACTGAAGCTTAAGAATGTAAACTTTGAGGTGAAAACGAGGGCGCTGACGCTGCCGTATGCTGTTGCTACAGTGGATGAGATCTTTGCAGTTGCTAAGGACCTACTGAAAACGGAAAGAGACAATGAAAGCCCCCAGCCACTCAGACTGAGGCTCATGGGTAATTAGATATAGCAATATAACTGACATACTAATTAATATAACTAACTTGAAATAAATCTAAATGATCTGTGACACACTGCATGTGGAAATAACAACACACTTGGCATTCATTTTGATTTTTTCTCCACATAATTTGTTTTTGTGCGCATAGGTGTTAGAATCTCTGCCTTTGTCAGTTCGGATGATAAAAAGGGCCTGCAGAAGAGCATCATTGGCTTTCTTCAGCCAGGCAAGACTGACCCTAGTGGCTTTTCCCAAACAATGCAAGAAAAGCTTAAGAAAGAGCATCTCTCAGGTCCCTGCTTCCAAACCTTGCCCCTTGCTTGTTGTCCCTTGGCGCAGAATGGCCAGAGACAAGAGGAAGTTCCCGGGTGGAGTAAGCAGAGGGGGTTAGAGGGGAGCCAGACTGGTGAGTCTTTCTTCCAAAAGGCTCGTGCCAAAAGACTACAACTCCAGGCAACAAATACAAGCACCCAAGAGGAAGGACAAAGTGAGATTGCTTCTGTGACTAAGTCCACTGGCACTTACGCTCAAAAGGGCGTAGAGTCATCAACAAAAGTGCACAAGAGTAACTGTACAGCCTCAGATCTCTCAGAAAATGATTTTGTTTCACCTGTAGAGGCCCATGCATCAACGTCAGGCTGTGGTGGCACAGTGTCAGCAGAGAGCCTCACCTGTCCAGTGTGTTTCAGGCAAGTGGAGACGACTGATTTGAATGTCTTCAACAGACATATAGACCAGTGTCTCAGCGATGTCTCTACAAAGCCAAAGCAAATCACAATTTCTGACACAGAGTCAGATTTGAACCTAGAGAGTGACTATAAAGAATGTGAAGTGGTGGACAAATGGAGGGGGGACTGTGAGGGTGAGGAGGAGAAAGCAAAGAACAGAGAAGAGTTGGAGTCAAACGGAGATGATCCTCAGGAAGACCAACGCAGCTTGAAAAATTCTATTCAGACGGCTTTGTTGATCAATGGCGACAACAAAACATGTGATGATAAAGGCCCTGTCCTCATCTGCCCAGTATGTCAGCTGACCCAAGAAAGTGATGACCTCATTGTCTTCAACCACCACGTAGACCTCTGCCTGAACCAGGAGGTTCTACATGAGCTTTGGACACAGACATCATCTACCATTAATCCACCTTCAGTTACAAATAGCAAGGCCATAGGTGAGTGTGTGAGTGTGTGCACTTTTTGTATTGTGTTTCACAGTAACCCTGCAATAACTGTGTTCTTTTGGCCACTTGGTGGCAGAAGAAACAAGTTGGTGCTGAGCAGGTAGGCACAGTGGGTTTTTAGAACTTTTTTCTGCTGAAAACAGCTGCCTGCTACAGTTGAAAAAGACAGAGAGAATTTGGGTGATGTCCGGAGGTTCATCACTATGAGAGACTCCTATCACATTGTCATTTGATACATTGATATTATAAAAAGATTGATTATAGCTGCTTTCATTTTTCGTTCTATTAGTGTTTCCTTCCTTCATCTAAAGTCTTGAGAATGTATCTATCTCTGCTGAAGACTGATCCTGTCTAAAGTCTATACACTGTGGCTGCAGGATATCAGAAGGAAAGTCTATTTGGGAGGATGCTGGTGGCCTATGACCTGTTATTTACAGACAGGACATTGTGTGAGAATTTTGTATCGATTCCTGCAGAGAAAAGACATCTCATTCCAGTCCACGGGGCTTCCATTGGCCTGGTCTTGGAAATGGCTAAATCACTTTTTCACCTATTCATTTCCTACAATGAACTGCACCCTGGTTTCCTCTTAAACAAGCCTGCTTCAGAAATTGCACTCTTTATATCCCTCAAGAGGTGTTGCAATTGTGTGCCTCCTCAGTGGATGTCATTTTTTTTGTCAGAGGAGAGAAAACGATGGACTTATTTTTTTCTATCCATGTTCATGAGTTTCTGTTCCTGTTTACAGACAGAGGCCGTCTCCTGCCGACGCATGCAAGTAAAGGCAAAACCAAAAGGTGAGACTGCTTGATTACAAATTGTTGATGCAAAAAATGTTTACATGTGGTCTCTGCATATTCCATATACTGTAGGTAAAGTATTGTCCATTTACAATTATGGCAACAAGGGATTTTTTAATTTAAAAAAAATTGTATATTTTTGATTGTGTCGATTTCATGACTTTTAGACGGGACACGCCGTCCTCTCCTCCTTCTAAAAAGGCTAAAGTGCTTGGCCCTCGCAACACGATCGACAAGTTTTTCAGGTGACAGTCATGCACGCAGAATGTCCATTCCTATCTGGAGGAACCAAGAAAGTTTTCTACAGGAAATGAAGAACATCATCAGGTTCCGGACTCCATTGTTCAAACTGTCGTCACAATCATTGCAGCAAAAGCAATATTCAGTTGTTTTTTCTTCAAAAATCTGTAATTATGATAAATTGATATAAGTATTGTGTGCACTAATATGCTTTATTTGTTCTTTATAAGCCACGCACTAGACAAGAAATTAAAAATGAAAAAACCAAATTCTCTATTAATTCTGGCACATTAATAGAACTACTTATGTTATATAACATACCTATGACCCTGTTGTCAATTGCAGTTTCTGTTTCACTGAAGATGAGCCTAATGTTTTTATTTAAATGTATGCTAAATTGATCATGAAGTTATTTATTGCTCAGATGCCTGTGTTTTTATTTATGTTCATGATGTATTTTATTCAGATATTTTCAGTAATTTGAAAAATCTATTGTATTTATATTGTTTATTCCAATGATAACACTGTATGTGTGTAATAATGAAAGGAAGGGAATCCTTCTGTCTTGTACAATGAGTTTGAAATAAATGAATATTCCACTGGATTTTCAATTTGGGACATTTTTACAATTAATTAACCTCCATTCTCTACTAATCAGACTTATCTGAAAGGGTTTGGCTCACTGAAGACACACACATAATTAGACCGTTTTTTTTTTTGCGACTGGATTGTTGCTGGTTTTAAAAACACATGCTCCGGGTGAAACTGCACAGTGGCTGGGAGCAAAAGACTTAAATCAGGTTGTGTGTAATATGAAACACTTCTGAAAAAGAGTGTGTGTAACTAGTCAGACGTCCCTACACAAACATGTTAAACTACTATCAGATCCTCATGTTAATCATTTGTAAACATTGCATTGTTCACAGAAATTAAAGTTGAAAAACACTTTGATATAACTTCTAGAGATTACAAGGCATGATATAAATGAATCCATGCCACTTAGAGTCATGTAACACAGGTGACTAGATTACTATCAGCATTCTCTTAAGGGTGTGAGCTGGTAAAGTAAACACGGACCCAACCCTCCAGCATTAACAAAATGTTAGGAGTATACAACCATTTCAAGGCTTGCTGCTATTTGATGACAGGAATTACATGAAACTGGATGGAAATTGTACTTCTGTGTGATCTGTGTCCGTAGGTTTTTGTTTTTCTTTCAGTGCGACTGTTTATCAAATGACAACAAGCCCACCTTAGTTACACAGGTACTTTAAATAGCTTACCAATGGAGAGAAGAGCTATGGCTTTGAGGACGATGATAAAGAAGCATTGCCCTAAGAAGGACAATTTGGACCCCAGAAAATGGATGAGACAGGAGACTGTGAGGGGGTTTACTGACTTCATACTGAACAAGGACTTGGATGATACAGACAACAGCTTTGACAACAAAGAGATGTGTGAGTACGCAAGAACAACAAAATGAGAAAAACTGAGAAATAAATACCTAGACTGTGGCTTTACAAAACAAACATTATGGAGCAATATTTTAAAGTAGTATATAACGTAGTATATATGTAAATAGTCATAGGTAAAATCTTCCTCTGCTGTGTTGGACAGTGCTTGAAGCAGAGAAGCAGTTTATGGAAGCAGCTAAAAGTAATGACGTGGAGACCATGAAGACTCTTGGAAAAGGACTGAACGCCAATGCAAAGAATGTGGTGGGTCAAAATCACTATAATGCGATGTATGTCACTCAGATAGACTTAAAGGCTAATTGGATGTTACTGATTAAGTTGTTTGTCTCAGCATGATAGGACTGCCCTTCACTATGCAGTAGCTGGGAAAAACAAGGAAGCTGTGCAGTTTCTTGTGCAGCGCAGGGTCAAGGTGGACCAAAAAGACAAGGTGAGAGGGTCTGAAATGACTGCATTGGAAAACCCGAGTCCCAGACAATAGCTTGTGTAATATTTCACAACTAGTAATCACAACTTTACATTTTGTGTTCTGTGTCTGACAGTACGGTGTGGCACCCATTCATTTGGCTGCCTGGTTTGGCAGTTTGGAGATCCTGAAGTTATTAGTGCAGGCTGGGGCTGAACAGAAGGTTGAGAACGAGGTAACGAAGCAGCAAGTTTGTTCTACTGTTTCTCACTAACTGACAGAGCAAAATACCGAGAAATTGTGCCATTTGTCTTTTTATTTTGTGCAACAGTTCTAAAAAAAAAACTTAAGCAACACTGAGTCCTGATTAATTTTCATTATCCTGGATTTTGAATCTAACATTTGTAAGCTTGTCTCATTACAAGCCTCAGTGCAGACCCTCCTTTTGTGTCCAAATCCAACTCACGTTAATATTCTTTGACAGCGGCAGATTTTAAATTAGAATTTGCTTTTTTCCACCTCAGGAAGGACTGAACATCATGCACTGTGCTGCTATCAACAACCACACTGAAATTGTAGAGTATATTGTTAATGACCTGCAGATGAAAGAACTAGACAAAGATGACCAGGTACTTGACACTAATTTTTCATAAATCAACTGTATGATTCACTTTTGGACAAATTATTTAGGACTACCAAAAAACATGCCGTAAATTAACTTTCATATTTCAGTCAGGACACGGGGCATTTGCATTGGCAGCAGAGCATGGGTGTGTTCAAATGTTAGATATGCTGATGGATCCATACAACATGGCCACCATGAAGCCCAACAAGGTGCGTGTGAACTTGTTTTTTGGTTTGCGTGCATCTATTTACAATATACGGCTATTCATGATCTTGTGTGTCTGAGTGTAAATTTTTTTGTGTCACACCTGCAAGAAAGCTGAAAGTCAAAGAACTCTTTCATGTGAGTTGTTTCCCTCCCCCCCTTCTGCCAGAGAGGGGACACGCCCCTGCACTTAGCTGCCAGGAACGGCCACTTGGATGCAGTCCAGCTGCTGCTGCAGAGCTTTGACACTCTGGATGAAGTCAATATGGTAGACAATCAAACATCCTCTCTATCACGGTTTGGTTTGTGACAGTGTGTGCTCAGTGGCTAATCCACCGCTGGATGGTGACTCCACTTTGGATTAACTAAGATGTATCAGATATGTACTGGTAACTATTATCTAACTAGGCAAACTGTGTTCTGATGTGAATTTCAACTCTAACTGGTAATTTATTCTTAACAAGATTTACTTGGTCAAAGATTCTTCTAACTGCTGCCAAGAAAAGCATTATCAAGAATTGGTTTGAGCCCACTATTGTCTTGAAATACCAATGTGTTTTAACTTGAAATATCCACTGCCAGAATTAATGGGGCTAGATTTGATACTGTGATTCATTGGTCCAAAGCTATTGAAATAATCTAGGCGAATATTTAAACCTAACTTTTAGCCATGTTTTTATCCTCATATCTGCTTATATAACACCTCATATTTAGTACTATGGGTGATGTACATGTAAATATAGGCATTTGTTTGCACGTTTGCTTGTGTGTATTAGTATTTCATATATGGATTGGGATCTCTGTTTTCATGGTGATTAACTATTGAAATTACACTGAACAAAATTATAAACGCAACACTTTTGTTTTTGCCCCTATTCATCATGAGCTGAACTCAAAGATCTAAGACTTTCTCTATGTACACAAAAGGCCTGTTTCTCTCCAATATTGTTCACAAATCTGTCAAAATCTGTGTTAGTGAGCACCTCTCTTTTGCCGAGATAATCCATCCACCTCACAGGTGTGGCATATCAAGATACCGCAGCTCGATCCCCTCTATAACCCCACCGCCAACATTGGCCACTTGATCCACAACGTTGACATCAGCAAACCGCTCACCCACACGACGCCATCTGTTCTGTACAGTGAAAACCGGGATTCATCTGTGAAGAGCACCTCTCCAAAGTGCCAGAGGCCATCAAATGTGAGCAATTTGCCCACTCAAGTCAGTTAAGACAAACTGCAGTCAGGTCGAGACCCCCATGAGGACGACGAGCAAGCAGATGAGCTTCCCTGAGATGGTTCCTGACAGTTTGTGCAGAAATTCATTGGTTATGCAAACCGATTGTTGCAGCAGCTCTCCGGGTGGCTGGTCTCAGACAATCTTGGAGGTGAAGATGCTGGATGTGGAGGTCCTGGGCTGGTGTGGTTACATGTGGTCTGTGGTTGTGAGGCTGGTTGGAGATACTGCCAAATTCTCTGAAACACCTTAGGAGACAGTTTATGGTAGAGAAATGAACATTCAATTCACAGGCAACAGCTCTGGTGGACATTCCTGCAGTCAACATGCCAATTGCACGCTCCCTCAAAACTTGTGACACCTGTGGCGTTGTGCTGTGTGATGGAACTACACAAAGTGGCCTTTTACTGTGGCCAGGCTAAGGCACACCTGTGCAATACCCATGATGTCTGATCAGCATCTTGATATGCCACACCTGTGAGGTGGATGGATTACCTCAGCAAAGGAGAAGTGCTCACTAACACAGATTTTGAGAGACTTGTGAATATTTGAGAGAAATAGGCCTTTTGTGTATATAGAGAAAGTCTTCTCCTTGAGTTCAGCTCATGATAAATTTTTTTCAGTGTAGTTCTGTGTCTGTGGTATTTTGTTCATTATGTGCAACTACATGGACTTGGAGCTCTTGATCTAGACCTCCCATATTCTAGAACAAGTCATACAAGCCTTTGGTGTCTGTTTTTAGTATTATAATTATCTATTTTTGGTGATTAATTTACTTTGCCCGTTCATTCTTTCAGTGGAAGTTTGGTTGATTTCTGAGGTCTTTTTGGTTATTGGCCTGAAAAGTTTAGTTTTTGTGAGCATGGTAAGTTTAATAGCGGTACACCTGAGAAGAATTCTTCTGTTATCTAGCACTGTAAAATATTTCTATATTTGGTTCACAGGAGTTTGATCACCACCATGGTTAATCGATAATGCAGAGGGGACAAATGGTTCTGTTTAAGCCATTTATTGCCACTATTCACACATGAAGAACAGCAGGAGATGAGGCTTGACGGTTATAGTTTAACAAAATGATAACAAATTAAAATACAGTAAAACAATATATAACATAACACTTAACTAGGCACCAAAATAATAAACATTTGTACTTTAACTAAAAGGGATGAAGGTGTAGGCTTACCACTACGGAAATTATAGTACTACATAAGACATTCATTTAACAGTTACATATAAGAAATTCATCATGGTCCAAGTTAGGTTATACTGTTTTCTGCCTTTCCTTAAGAACACTTGTGATATCTGTATATCTCATATCTGTAGTCTCAAGATAAACAATCAAAGTGAGGAAAATCGCATCTACTAATATGTATACTAGTCAAGCATTCAATCACATCATATTTATAAATAACCATTAAGATACAGCAAATATGAAAAAGGCAAAAAGGATGTATATCTGAATCACAGAAACGGCGGGCCCTCACATGTGGTTTGTGTTACTGCCAGCCAGAACAAAGGGAATGGGTGGAGCTTATAAAGTAGACCACTGATTAGGAGTGAGTGAGATCAGGTGAGACTGGGTGGGTCCTTGCCATGGAAATAGGCAGAGGGTTGCTGAATAGTATGGCTCTATTCTGCAAGCACCACTATATTATTT